CGGTTCCTGTTATCAACAAAGCCTCTGAAATTGGTTTCCCTGGTCTTCTTTGAGAGAAAACGTGGAGAACAAAAAGCCCTCCAGGTAGTGAGAGGAGTCACTGTGATTCATCCCATGGAGCTATTTGAACTGCCTTCTGTAACAGGAATGTCTGTTTCTGCTGACTGGAACTTCTCCATTTGAACTTCACTCAGGCTACTGCTCTTCTAAGCTGTTTCTAACTAGCTACACTCCTCAAGTGAGGCAGAAATGTCTGTGCCACTGCAAGAGACCTTTCTTACCCTTGATAACTATCCACAGAAGGCTGAGCTGTCAGGCCTGGATGATCCATGCACAGACAGATAGCAGTTCTACAGCAGCAATGGAGACAAAGCTGACTTCTCTGTCGCTGGTCACTGAATGAAAACATGGTTTCAAAGGGAAAGACATTGTGAGAGAGGATAGGGTTAGGAGAGCTTTCACGAGAATGTGGCTGAGCTAGGGATAACTGTGCTTCCCTATTAAACTCAGCTCTGCATTCTTAGGATCATTTTTTTATTGCTGTCAGGCAGGAAAGCCTTACATGACTCACTTTGCAGCTCATATCTGAAAATTGAGTGTCAGCCTAGGTGAAGCTAACTGGTCCTTGTCGTGTGATGTCCATGTTAAGATGACAGCAGCAGCAAGCTGGAGTGTCCCCAGAAACAGGATTAGCAGCAGAAGTCTGTATTCTCTCAAAATCCTTCTCTTGTGTGCTCCTACATATCTAGCCCTTGTCTGGGCTGTGCTCAGCCTTTCTGATCAGGTCAGGAGCTGCAGAAGGGTGGTTCATTAGGATGAACTCTTCACGCTCTGAAGAGGTTTCAAAACAAGTCAGTAAGCAACACAGCTTAAAGATCAGAGTATGCTGCAAGGTATTACCATTAAATTAAATGGCAGATTAAGTCCCATTGAAGATAATATTCTTCTGTGTCCACCACAATATGAAATGAATTGCATATAACGTTAACCCTCTTCATTTATAATGAAATTATTTCTTCCCACTTCTATGTATTCCAAGTATTAATAAAGCTGTGCCCCAATTCCTGTAGTCAATTCAGTAGTTCAGAGATGTCCTGATGCCTGGTTTGAATTCACAGGTCTTTCATCTTTACTAGGTTGCAAGCACTCTCTCTCCAGTTTTTTTCCTCCTTTTCCAAGACTTATTGGCATCTAGCATTTGTCTTGCTGGCAGTGGGAGATATCTAGGTTATCAAGTAAACTTTTCTTTTTGTTCTATGAAACTTTAGGTATATTTTAGTAATCTGTGCTACAAAGCTCAAGAGCCATCCTATAGTTCTTGGTTTTGAGGTTTGAAATGTAACTTTGTTATCTTGGGGGAGATTTTTCTGGTGCAGTTGAGTCTATAATGAAATAAGGACGAAATCATTCAGGCTGCAGCATACCATAATACATCAGACACATCATTAAGGAAACATAGGTCTCCTGTTTTGCTCAACTCACGCCTGGTATCAGTAAAACTTATCCTGAGTCACCTGCTTGAGGTGCAGACACTCTAGGGAAGGGGTTTCTTCTGACTGTGTGTCTCCTTGGAGTCTTACCTGAGACACTTCATGCTGTCATAATGTCAGCAGAATAATGGACTCAAGTTTAATGGTTACTGATGTGGCAATTCAGATTTTGTGGCTTAGTTCTGTCTGCAGATGGTATCTCATATACACCATAAAGGCTTAGAAAGAGCCCTAAATTGCTTGTAGGTTAAAGATTATTACAGATTATTTTTCATTATGTTTTTTTTGTGGTGGAGATGCTGATGATTGCTTTTATTTGGGGGCTGGGGAGGAGGGCACTGTACCCTGCTGATGAAAATGAAGCTGCTGTCTGGGATTTTGACAATGAAATTATAGGGACACGCTGAGGCAGTGTGGCTAGAACTGGGCAGCACGCACCATCATTGCTTCAAACTTTTTCTTCATTTCTGGTCACTGAGATGTGGTCATCCACTGATATTAAGCTGTGTGCCAGAAACCAGAAAACACTAGAAATACACTTGTAAAATCAATTTGCACTAGGCAATAAGGCCTTTACAGCAGCCACAAAACTCTTTATTACACCTGATGTTTTTGATAGAAAAATTAGACCAGATGATGTAGCACCAAGTTATAGTATTACCTTTCATTACCTAAGTTAGTCACTAGGAAGAAAAACTACTATTACCTCGCCTCCTAATATTAATCCAATCATGCCTGAGGGTGTAAAACTGTCAAACAAATCCGATCCTTTGCATAAAGCATGAGTTGAGTCTTAAACATTATTACTCAGATATATCAGGTAGTCACAATCTCCTTTGTCTCAGCATTGTCTCAGCAGGAATAAGACAGATTTTGTGCAGTGAATTGCCAAGTGCATCTTCTGAGTTTTGTTGGTTATACATTATACAAATTCTGCATAACCTGTTCCCCATAATTTGCCCAAAGATTATTAACTCTCCAATATAGGTGGGTGACTTGTAGGAATGGTGTTAGGGGTGGAGATCTGTTCCTGAAGAGATGTGAAATAATACAGAATGACTGGTACTTCCCATTTAATAAGATTTTCTATCATAAAACACCAGTTTCTGAAGTCATGAAATTATTTGCAGCTCCTGACCTGCTCAGGAGCTGCAAATAATAAAAAGCCAGATTCTGAAGTTATGAAATTATTTCCCTTTTTCACTTAAATAACAGGTTTTTAGAGGCCTCCAGCACACATGCAGCCTGAGAACCTAACATTTTCAACTTTGTGAGTCTCCAATCAGAAAAAAAAAAAATCACAGAATCAAAACCAGAAATCATATATAATTTCAAAATGTTTCTTGGAAAGTGAACCCTATGCATCCAAACTACTTTAGATGCCAAAATTAAATATTAGAACAGAGAGTTTTAGGTCTTTATTTCTATATTTGTAGGAACAGTGTTAGTTAGCTCTTTGTTACTAGAATTTGATTTTTCATCTCATGATGCTACTTCAGGGACTAGAGCCTAAAGACAAGTTCAAACCTTAAGATCAAAGCACAAAAACTTGTGGCAGCAGCTCTCTGGCCACAGAGAGCAGGCACAGACTTTCCCAGGCATTTTCCTGGGGAAAGCTGTGAGAAGATCAGAGCAAAGAATGAGAAACAATTCTCTCCACTTGTTGCACCTGCTGTTGTGCACATGTGGAATGTGTCATGGCAATTTTTTTACCAAAGGGTGATTTCTTGATTGGACAGTGGATGGTGTTTGGATTGATTGATCAATTAAGTCAAAGCTGGATCTGACAGGCTGGAAGGGTTACTGAGTTTCTTAATAAGCATAGTGTAATATAGCATAAGATGATAGAATAAAGCAATTTATCAGCCTTCTACAATCATGCAGTCAATGCTAATTATTCCCCAGCTGGGGGCCTGCGGTGACAAAAACTGAATGGTTTGTACTGATAAAGCTTTTGTAGAATTTTGAAATCAGAGAACAACTACCCCTATTTTAACAAATTAAATTATTTTCCATACCAAAAAAAACCAAAACAAAACAAAACAAAACCAAAAAAAAGACCAAAAAAACAAAAACAAACAAACAAAAACAAACAAACAAACAAACAAAAAACAAACAAAAAAAAAAACACAAAAAAAACATTATAGGAAATGCTGCCTAAACATGATAGGAAATGCTGCTTCAACACATTGAAGACTTGCAAATATAAAATAGCAGCTGAAATTAAGTGCTGTCTTGATCACCTCCTACTAACTTGAGCAGCTCTTACACCAACTTTCAGGATCATCCTGTGCTTTGTGGTCCATTTTGGCTTGTTTTGTGTTCTATCTTCAGCCCTCAAGGAGCAAGCTTTCTCTATCAAGAAGAAAGCCCTCATTCTTTATTCTATCTTTCCATGCTTTCTCCAGTCACCACTATCATGCTGGCCTAATTATGGATTTTCATGAAATGTTCTAGATAGGACTTTGAATTCACTTGGAAAGTTTCTGTTTGTACAAAAAAACCCCTTCAGCTCAGTCTTGCAGATGTGTTTCTGGGCAACAAAATATAAGATGCTTGTTCTTGCTCCTTTGGTGCGGTTCTTTGAGAATCGTTTTTGCCAAATATGTAAGAAATTATTATTCCAGCACTTGCAGTTCCTTTCAACAGCTGATCCTCTAACAGCTTCATAATGGAGCCTGTTTGTCTCCTTCTGTGACTAAGACATTTTCTTCTGTGCAGCTGTAGTTTTGAAGACCCTGCAGAGCTGAGACATCCTGGTTTGACAGCTGGGCAGACTGCAATGCTTGCAGAGGAAAACAAATTACAACATTTTGCACAGATGCTCAGGGATATAGCAGAACTCCTGTTTTTTCTCTCAGATAATGCCTCAAAGTACCTATCTTTCCTCTTTGTCCATGCTGCGCCAGTTGGAGTAAACACTGTGGTTCACTGTGGTTTGCAGTTAATTAATTAATTGATAAAGGACCAGAACCCCACTGTGGACACTGTTGCAACTCCTGTGCAAATACAGGTGTTGTCCATCTGGTAAGAGAAATAGTTGTTTTGTGATTACTCAGCTGACCTGGAGTATAGCACACAATTTGCTATTTTGGGACGTTATTCCACTTCAGCCAAGCTTGTGCCACAGTGTGCCCACACATAATCACCCAAATCAAGAGGTAGGAAAGGAGTGAGATTCCTTGCAGATGCTCAGCAGGTGCTTGGACTGTTTTACTGGGAGAAGTACAGGTAGAAAGAACATTAAGTTCTGAAGTAAATATCTGAATTATATGAAGCACAAACATTTTGGATCCCTCTCTCGCTTATTCATCTATAACTCAATAAAGCAAATAAGCTCTGCTGGTAGTGTGCAATTTAGTTGTTATTCAGGCACCAGGTGCGGGAAGAATGCATTAAAATGCATTCTGACTGGTAGAAACATAATCATGGAAGTTGAACAAAATTTGAATATATTTTCACAATTCATTAATTTCATCCTTAAGTGTACTCCACACATTTCTCTTACAGATCAGAGTTTGATGCAAAATCCTTTGGAGGAAATGTGAAGAATCCCCTTGATCCTGGAGCATTATGGATTGGTGTCTCCATGTGTAAGTATCAGTTGACAATTTCACTCAATAAACTTAGGAAGCTTCATTAATCTCTGTCAGAAAAAGAAATTAAAAGAGCTTCTGGTGATGAGATCCATAGAGGAGGTGGCAGTTTATGAAGAGACAACTGAAAAAATGGGTGTGGGAATTATTAGACTATTTCAAATCTTCTTTCAGGCAGATAGATAAAGTATTGTGTGCCTCTCACATACAATAATTAGCAGAGGATGTCCATTCACTTCCCCAGTAAATAGCTGTGTTACTGTAGTTTTGGCTTCAACTGCACAGTTGCCATATCTATCCAATTTATTCATTTTCACCTATGAGGGGACCCTGACAGTCAGAGTGGTAATGCCATTCTTTGAAATTGGAAACAGTGCCCCATTCCCACTCTGACCACAACCATGAAGCATTGCTGCCTCTACAATAAGGCTTCCAGCTTCTCTTTTTTTTTATTTTTTGGTTTTTTTTTCCTGCACATGAAGAAAGCTGCTTCTTGCCCAAACCTTGCAACACCTGAAGCAAACAGCAGGTGGTCATTTCCATAGCTGAATCTATTCTTTGCTCCATAAATGATGTTGCATGGATATCAGGGGATTTGTAAGGATATGTAGATACTTGTAAGTTGTTATTTTGAGAAGTTTTATTACTGGAATAAACCAATCAAACATAATCTGGCATTGTAAAAAATAACTAAGAAAGACAACTTTTTCTTTACAAACAGAAACGTTTTTCTACTTTCTTAGTATAAGGCAAAAATTCTTTGGGTAGAAAGGTGCAAAATGGTGATTTCTTATGGAGCAATTGATTAAGCAATATTATTCTGGCATCCCAACCCTTTTTAACATGGACTCCACTGTTTCACTGAAGATGCATGGCAACATAATTACATACCCTACACCATCATATCCTATGGCTCTGAGGAGTCTTAGCAATGACAGCTCATTTTAGCATTTGGAGTACAAAAAACTGACAAAGAAATTACAGGACTTCACACCTGGAGGGTGTTGTTTTTTATAAACCCTATATGAAAGTTGCTCAGACTCTGTAAGGTACATCTTAAATGTGTGATTTTTAGAGATAATAGCATTAAGAAAGTAATCAAAGTATAGACAAACTTACTTCAGGTGCTGGTAATCTCAAGCTGGGCAGCATAGAGTGAGTGTGGCATGCTGTGCAGCTCAACCTATGGGAAGTTTATTGATTTTTTGTTTCTCTTACAATATTTTCCTACAAGGAAAGCAATTCTATTCAACATTTTCATTGTCCAAGAAAAGGAGATTCCTACATTAACGTGTTGTTTCACTGTTAGATAGAGACAAGGGCATGCAATCACCCATATAAAAAGGGACCTCCCGATTAGGATCTTTACATGGAATTTACCAATTCAGCAGCATTATTCCTTTGTTTATGCTTTTGTTTTAAATACTCAGAGTATCTTCATAGCTCAGATTCATACTACTCTGTTTATTTGCACTTTACTTTTGTGAGTAATGTACCAGAGCCGTAGTCCAGCAGGTAAGGCAGGGATGGATATTTCTGAAATATTTCTGAACAATGAGACAAAAATCCCTTATCTTGGGGGAAATGCTTCCTTCAAACTCATCATTACAAGGAGCTGATAAAAGTGTGTGTCCTCTAAGTGAGGATCCAGTCTCAACCTGTGCAGATCCTCATCCCAGAATCATCTAGCCTAGAACAGGGACCTATGTCTTTTTGAAGGATATATAAGGTCTCCCTAATTTTGGTGTTGGAGGTACCAGCCATCTTTTCCATTTTACATTTGGCTGTTAATGATATTTCCTAGTTAGGTGGGAGGAATCGACTTTAGTCAATCTCAACTGAAGCATTAGGAAGACATTAGCAAATTACTCACACTCTACAGCTCTTTTTGGAAGTGAAATTAACTCAGCTTTTTCCAGCTTCCTCTGAGATGTCACATTTCTGAGCCTCTCTGGGTTTTACAGTTTTTTTTTCATCTTCCTTGGTCTCTGGAATCTCCCTGGACAAGTACTGACTTATCCAGTTAACATAACCTATAAATGGACCAGAAGAGAATAAATACCTCTCAGATAAAGCAGCGTACCTTTAATATACACCAATGCCAAGTTGCATCTCCCTGACATACAGAAACTTTTTTTAGCCAATATAGTTCCGAATATTTTTCTGCCTTTTTTGACTGACTGATATTTCCCCATTTATTTGTATATTTAACTCTTCCTTCATTATTTTTGGAATCCATTATCGTGTCTGCTGCCATCACTAGCTCTTCTGTTGAGATCCTGGCTCCAAAGATCAGATGGCTGGTAAATACGTTCCCTTCACTCTTGGATTGTGTACAAATTTTGCAGCTTGTACTATTTAAGCTGATAATTCAAATACTGAGAATAATCAGAGTGAAACCCAGTGGGGTCTCCTAGCATTCTACCCTTTGAATTTAAGAGGTAACCAATGGGAACTTTTGTTTCAAGCCTAATTTTGAAACAACTCTATTCTCATTACAAACTGCTCGTATGTATCCAAAAGTACACTCTGGATAGAAAGATTAACACCAAACTTATGGGCTCAACTTCTTCCTCACCTCTACAGACTTAGGTGACACTGTTGGAAAGACACTTTAGGAACAGGTATTATCTCTTATCTTTCATGAAGGAGTCTTTGTATTTTCATCCCACACTGAAGGAATCACTAGATGGGCCAGCATAGTGCTTGTGTTCCTTCATATACATTGTTTTTCTAGCAAATATTTAGCAGAATTCAGTAGAGAATGTGGTTTTTATAGCATCGATTGGAAGAACTTCAGTGACAGTGGGCAAGGTCCTTAAAGCAGACAAAACATGCATGGGACTGTTTGCTCTTCCTCTGAAGTGCAACTGTGAGCCTTGAAAAGGTAACATCAATAAGCTAGCTCAGAGTTTCATGCACCTAGTTCCACGTGTAAGTTTGGTCCTCTGACCTTCTATATAATTCCCATTTTTAAACATTTTCCGTGATCCTACAATGCAAAAAACTTTGTTCTGCCCCTCAAATTCATGTAAGATTTTGTCACCCTTCTACTTTGTGAGAACAAAGGATGCTATGGGAGCTCTTCAGAAGAAAGGGAACTGTTTAGAATATAAATAGAAAAGTAGCATTAGCTGTAGCTTCTGCTAGTACTGGAAGATGGAAATCACAATAAGCTTCGAAGGAGTGTGTTTCCCAAATTTCAGTTTGCATAAGGCTTGTTGTTTTAGGCTCTTGGGGAGAAAAAAAAAAAGAAAATATATTAGAAGCAATTTGAAAAGAATGCGGTATTTTTATATTGTATGTTTCTTCTATTACAGGGTTTTATAAGCTGGTTGAAGAGAACAATTTACACAACACTATTCTTCAAATAAAACGAATGAGAATACTTGTGATGGGTCGAGGTTTGAGCAAGCTTTTAGTATGAGTAGAATTAGACAAAAGCAGCTTATGGATAATTGGTTATGTTCTTGCTGTGTTCCAAGTGTTTATGTCTTTCCTTTTAGCTCTCTTCTTTGGTTTAAAGTGGAATTTTACAGCTTTCTCGAATTTATATGTATTCTGGGAGTTCAAAATATTTTATCCATATCAGATAAAAATTCCACCTTCTAAGGAGACTGACGAAAATGTCTGTCGATCAGGACTGGGTTTCAACAGTTAAACTACAGGCCTGAGAAACAATTACAAGCTTTGTTTGACTTGATTAGCATGATTATCAGGAGAAAGTTTTAAAATATGAGATATTTGGATAAGGGACCAGGCTGCAGAGTGAAGAGCAAATTAGTCAAACAAAGAACTGCTTAAATCAGATAGACCAAATGGGCTATATTAGTGGAGATACCTGCACAGGATCCAAATGAAATGTCATTATTTTAGGAATTTTGCTGGCCCTTCTGCTAAATATTGTTTTAAGATAATACAAAATGGAGTATGTGAACAAGGCAACCAAAACTGTTTACTACTTTGAAAATACAAAAAAGTAGGGTTAAAAGATGTCAGCAAGAGACCCGTAGGGTGTGAAAGGTGGGGGCTCATATGGCACAGCACAGTGTGAAATTGAGAGAGATAAGAGAGACCCACATTCAGTTTATACAAATGGTGAAGGCTATGAATTATTTTTTCTGAATAATCAGTTATGTAAGTGACCAAATATAAACCAAGCACATTTGACAGTAATTATTAATTAACTCTTAGTAATTATGCGAACGACCTCATTCTACACTAGCATGGTGCTCTTTATTTCCTGGCAGCTTTTTCCCCCTTAGTAAAGTAAACATTAAGTCATTTGGAGACAATGGCATTTGCTACAATTTTGGTCCATATTTATGAACAGTTTAGGCATCTTTAGAGGTTTTTGGTTTTGTTTTTGGTTTTTTTTTAATAAATCTATACACTGACAGAAGGATTTTGAATGCTGAAATGGGTATTTTAGAAGCCAAAGGCATCATTGCTTCACACAGATAGAACATTAATAGGTTAGGTATTTATCGAAAGGCTGCCATGGATCACATTTTGTAATGTTTAGCTCTATAGAAGCAGCTACTGAATAGTTGGAAAAATGTTTTGTTTCTGCTGTGATCTGATAAATATCCTCCAGTAGTGTAGAGTGAAAGGTGGTATAATAAATACTCTAAATGATGGTGTATGTACATTCCTACTAACATTGTAGGGTCTACAAATTACTTAAATGAGGTTAGTAATCTCTCCACCCAAGGCTTCTGCATAGTAATAGAGTGCTCAACCACAACCAGAGCAAAAATGTGTCTTCTTACCTCTGAGTGTGCTTATTACCTCTTATCCTCAGTTCTTACCTCTGAGTGTGCTCATTACCCTTTATCCTGTCACCCTGTTCCTCTTCCCCAGGTGCAGGACCCTGCATTTGCCTTGGTTGAATTTCAGACGTGTCTTCTCTGCCCAGCTCTCCAACACACTGAAGGGCCACACAGCCCTCTGGGGAGTTGGTCACCAGACAAACTTTGTTTATTAATTGTGAGGAGGTATTCTGTCTCCAGCCTGCTGGCAGCTCTTGTCCCTGAGCCATGCTGAGGGCTCACTGCAGGCTCGTGGTCAGCTTGGGACCCCCAGGTCCTTCCGTGTACTGCTGCAGTCCAGCTGGTTGTCACCCAGAGTATGTGGATTTTTTCATCTCCATGAGCAGGACTTTGCATTTTCCCTTCTTGCTCAACATCAGATTGTTGTTGGTCCAGTTTTCTAGCTCCCTGTGAATCACAAAATAACCATCTGATTTATAAACAGTCCTTATAGTAATGGCATTTCTTATAGATTTAATACTAACTATTGCATGCATAATAACTTTTTGTTTATTTATCTTCTTCCTTGCTCTTTGGGGGAAGGGGGACTAACATTTTCTGTTTAATAGTTATTAAAATTAACCTTTTACTGGGAAAACACATTTTTTTATAACTTAGAAAATTAAATATCATTTTATTCAGAAAACTGTTGGGATTTGACACTGCATAAAAGCCAGGCACCCATGAAAAACCATTTACTCATTCTCCTTTGGATAGCTGAGCAGAGGAGGGGGAAAGAAAAACCAGAAGGTTCATGGGGTGAGAAAAGGATTAGGAGAAAACACCTTAAGGGAAAAACACGCTCAAAACATGAAAGGTATAAAGAGAAATTTATTAACAGAATTAAAAGAGCATAATGAGAACTAAAACATTTAGAATTCCTTTCCTCACTTCCCCCAGCCCTCCTTTTCTTCCCACTGACATCACAGAGACACAAAACATGGGGCTTTTAGTCAATTTGTCACATTTTAAAAAATCTTTTTTCAGTTTGCTTAGGGAGAGGAATTTCTTTTATTATGTTGTAAGGTTCTTCCCATGTGAGATAGTTCTCTGTGAACTTCTCCAACATGGGTCTAATTTTTCCCCTCCAGAGAAGAAATTGCACAAGATTTTTTCCTTCTTAAGTATGTCATCACCGAGGTATAATCAGCTTCTCTTAATTGGGATAGTAATTCCATCATCAGAGCTTTCAGGGATGGGTTCTGCTGGACATAGTAGAATCTTTGAGCAGCTTCTTTCTCAAAAGCTGCCTTTTGGCTTCTCCCATCCCCACTAAAAGCCAGGCTGTGTTAAACCAACACAAAAACATAAAAGAATTAAAATAGTAGGGTTGGGAGTCAGTCCTATATTATATTTCTCTTCCAAAACTTTCTTCTAGCCTTAACTTTTGAAGTATTTTTTTTTATTTTTAAGTATTTTTTAACTGAAATATAATATTGCTTTTGCATGAGCTTGATTTTTTTTCTTCTTACTTACCTTCTTCAACAGAAAAAAAAATATTTCATATACAAAGCCTGAATCTAAGAGACATTTTCTCCCATTGACAATCCAATGACTTAGTAATACTGACAGGTTTTTTTCCTGTGCTGCAGCTTTGCTTAATGCAGGACAGAGCAAATCCAGCAGTAGGAGAGAGCAGGCAGTATACCTCAACCCTATTCCTTGCATCAGCTAAGGAAATGTAAGAAACTACACTTGGAGGTTTTTTGATAACCAGATAGTGGTGCACAGGAAGCATTCTGCTTGGCTGTGAATTGTAATGACTTGGTAGTTATATCAGGTAGTTATTCCTATTCCAAGTGACCATCACTTGGTCAGATCCAGGCAGGAACCCAAGGATACACTTTCTTGACTCAACTACACCCAGAATCAGAAACTGTGTTTTTAATCCCACATCACAGTGATTATTGAGATATTTAGAGGTATTTTCATTATCTTACTTCTTCAGTTTAGCGTTGCTTTTGTAAATAATATTTTCTGTATCTCTATTAATGGGTCTGGATTTGTATTTATTCCCCGTAAAGAATTGCAGGGCCTCATAGACTGTAACCCATGTTCCTGATTAGCTGCACACTATCTCAAACAGGATATTTTAGGGAACATTGCACTTGGCACCAAGCCACTTGGCATCCATTCTACTCACTGTGGAAATTAAGACAGTTTACTTTTACTAAAGGGTCAATCCATAGCATACTGCTAGAGATGCCTGGGATATTCCTGGGCTAACTTACTAGGATGGGAGCAGCCTTGGGGCCTGGTTTGGACACTGGGCAGTCTCACTGTACCTATTACAAATAATGTTGAATGTACCTGTACAAATAACGTTGAAGGCTGCAGCGGATATTTGCCAGCTTGGAGCTACAGCATGGGTGATTAAGGACATGCCACCTAATATTTTCTAATGATGAGCCATAAAACAGCATTTTTTAGCCTCTAATACATCTTCAGGAAATTTTCAATTTAACCAGTATGTCAGTGTTCTGTGGGTTCTTCTCTTCCTGATGCTGGAATTGAAAGGGAAGACAAGATCTTCTGTGTTTAATTCTGCTTTTATTCACAGGCCAGCAAGCTACAAAAATCCTTCAAATATTTATCTCTAATTTACTGAGGATTCTGCAGCTTCTTTTCTCCAGTGATTCCAATTTCTGATCCTGTTAGAAGTTTTGAAATTTAAACAATAAACAACAGGAGGATCCCTTTTTGTGAAGTGAGATGCAAAGGTAGCGTCTCCCTCTTATTTTCTGACTTAAGGTTGATAATTGGAAAATTTATTCTCTCTGAATGCCTGTACAGCTAAGATCTTGTATTGGATATTTCTGCTCAACTCTGCTTTTCTTGCCTGACATTAGGAGAGGGACAGCCTCTGACCTCTGAAGTGGATGTTAGCAGGCTAGAGGAATGGAAGGAACTTTTCCAAGGAAATTTGTCACCTGCTGAAGGCTGGACACCTCCCTGAATGAAGTGCAATTGCACACCATTCACAGTCTACTGCTAAAAGTGATGCTTGTCCACCTAAACTCACCCCAGCAGTGCTGTTTCTGCAGCAGGTTTGCCCTCACCAAGAGATCATCATTGCTGCTGCACAGCCTGCACTGAGAGAATTCCTCGGTACCTGAGTGCTTCTCTCTGTATCCTTTCCCATATGCAGCTTCTGACAATTCTCTGCTTCCTAGCATCCTTTTCACATTCTGTCCTGCCTGGCCACTTATGCACAGACAGCAGCCCACTACAAGGCACATGTCCTGATCTGGTGTTTTATAGTTTCATTCTGGCATGTGCCTTTTCCCTGGCAAATTTCACACGCCCTTTGAACCATTTCAAAGCTCATATGCCTTGACCTTTGGTGGACCAGAGTCCACCAATTTAATACACCCCATTAAATTGTCATCTCTGCCTTTAGCTATGTTCTGTGACATCTCACATGCCTCCCTGATTGATGCTGTAATATGACAGAACAAGGAAAGAATTTCAGTCTCCTTTGCAGATTTTCCTCTGCATTTGCATTTACTATGCATGAGTCCCTGAAATGGGCAGCTCAAAACAATGAAAGAAACAGCAGAAAGATGCCATAAATATCTAGGAAAAGGACAGATTAAGCTACTGGTCACAAGTGAATGTTTTGCAGTGACCTGAATTACTTAATTTTAGCTCAAATGTTTGGCTGATCTAGCAAAGACTGTGGTGCTGTATGTAATATTCTTCCTTTTACCAGCGCTCAGAGACACACCAACATTATCTTACCATGTTTGCTTTTAGGGTTTTCTTTGGGGGTTTTATGCTTTACAGTTTGGCAATATACTTTAGGAATACCTGCCCCATCATCAATATGAACATGGATATTCCTGCCTTGTCAAAGTCTGTTCTATTCTGGGGAAAGGAACTTTAGATTTCTGTGGTGAATGTCGCTTCTGTGACAAGCCAGTGGGTTTAAGCTGGATTCAAACTAGGCATTTGTTTATGGAATGACCCAAAGAAGAGCACAACACCATCCCATACCAAAGATAGCTGGTTAGAGACAAGAGAGGAGAATCAGTACAGGACAGGAATGAGTACTGACAGGAATATCAGTCTGTGCATTACTGTGACATGCTTTTGTCTCTGCACAAACACACTGAAGGCACTTGTCAGACTTTCTTCCTCTTCTGATCATCTCATTAACCAGTTCTTCCCAGAGAGAAAGTTCTCTTCAGGCAGGTTTGGAAATATGACTTTCTCATGGCACACATTACTGGTGTCAACAAGAAACCTTTCTTAAGGTTTCATGGACATCTGCCTCACCATTTTGAAGTTTAAATTATAGAAGGATTGTTTCCAATTTTATTCCATTTACCAGGATATGAGAGTTTAAATTTGGTTGTCAGAAACTTAAATGGATTGATAATAGTTTTTGAAGTCAAAAATTATTACAGATCCACACCTTTGTGAGAAAAAAGAATCAGGATGCTTGAGGAAAATGGATTTGTTAGGATGGGAGAAAGACATCTTACTGGTGATTCACACTATAATGATGTCTGACTTTTATTCTGAGCAGGAGGTACAAAGAGATGATTTTTCTACCTATTGAAGAGATTAAATGAGGACATATCACCACAGCTAGGACTTATTTTCTCTTTGGCTGTGTTCTCTCAGATATGATTTTTTAGGTTTCACATTTTACGACCAAACTTTTCCTGTAATTCAAGACAATACTTACTGAAGAGGTGAGCTGCTAAGGGCAATACACTGTTGTCTTACAGGATAATATATTGGACAAGTCTGTAAAAGAATGGGACTTCCAGACTCCTTAAAGGACATCAAATATAATATAATTTAATTTTTATGGGATGAAAACTGGCTGATGGAAATATGGCATTATTTATGCTATTAAGTCATTGTAAAATTGTGGTCTCCTCTGGGGAAGAAGGGCAACTCTCAGACAGGCCATGAGGCTAGAGATGCCTTAAATCTCCTCTCTTTTTCAAGTTATAGCATGCAGTGAGAACAGAGTTCAAAGTGGGTGACCCTCTTGGAAATGAGTAGTAGAAGACCTGCTATTCTCTAAACCTTCAGAAATTTTTCCAAGTATGATTGCTGCAGTCAGCCTGCAAGGTCTTCTGTGTGAAGTCTCTTACTGACAGCAAAAATTAGCATTTTCTATAGGAAATCTTCTGTTAATTAATAATTTCTATTTTCCCCATTAATTCTAGTGTAATCTGACCATGCACAATACAGAAGTCCAAGAACTGGTAACTGCAGCTCTTCCACCATCACTCACTGCATATCTGACAGGTAAGATTGTTGCACTGGCCAAGAAAAAATATTTAAGACTTGCACTGGATTTCCAGCGTGAACGGGGAAAGCCTGGGATGGCAACCTGCCTGATGTTATCCTAGAGGTAATATCTATTACTAGGAATTTATTATTTTGATTGATGTGTTCATATGTTTCCAGGTAAACACAGATGTTAAAATATTACAATGAAAAGTTAATTAGAGGAACTATTAGCCATAAAAACAATAATTGAATATTGTGACAGGAACAATGGGTTTGTGATGGACCACTAATGCCTCCTGTCTCCTTTGCTTGTGTAGGCTGTTCAAAGAATTGTCTACTCCTCACATGTACCAAGCTGCTCCAGGTGGGAACTCTGAAGGAATGGAGTGAAAGTAATGCCAAGAAAATTATTCAAAATTTGTTCATGAAGAAAACAAGCTTGAGAGGACAAGGGATGTTCAGGCTCCATTCCACTTTCCTTCCCAGAGGCTTTTTCATAATTCAAATGCCATAGGCTAGTTCAGTATATCTACAATGAGCTCTTCAGTCTCTTCTTTCAAGGACCTTGCTCCTTCCAAAAGGGAGATGTGACAGTTTCAAGTGGAATGGCTCTTGCAGGAGATTTTCTTTAAAAGGTTGAAGTAAATCCAACAAAACCAGAACAAAATAAACCCTGCATACCAAACAAAGAGAATAAACTTGTCTTTGGCCTTTTTTTAGACTTTGTGGAAAGAATACAAAAAGACCCCATCTGACATCCTGGCAGTTGCTATAGACTGTTCAATTTGACTGCATCAGGAAAGGAAAGTATTTTTTTACACATGGCTTAAAGTTTTGTTCTTCGAGTGTCTGAGTCTAGAAGGTGAAAGCAAACCAGAAAATAAAATTGTGAAACAGATCTGCTTGAAGCATCACTATGTTTGTTCCTATTCATTAGAGCAGTGAAAGCTTCAACAAATCTTTTACACACTGAAGCCAGAGTATAACAAAGTGTCATAGAACTCTGCAGGACTAAGAGAGGCTTTTCCAGAACAGTAGAATCCCAGAGAGGGAACCTATATTTGGGAAACGAAAAACAGGGATAAATGGTTTCTATTCTTTCTTTCACTCTCTATAAAATTTCCTCTGAATACCTGGCTTTTAGTCCAGCATCTAAATCACATGAACAGAAAAAAAAATTAACCATTCCAAACTGACTAGGTGTTTTTCCTGATTGAAGAGAAACAGGTGTTTTGTTCTGTTGCAAATCAGCTGTCATAAGTTTGTAAGTCTCACTTCTAAAAAATGCTAGTGCAATAGAAATGAAGAGTAGATAGATAGGATTTTTTTTCAGAATATGACATGATTAGGAGTCTGTATGAGAAGTAGAGGGACTTTCATCAAAGGAAGACAAACTGTCTTGCACAGTGTAGTCAACATCCTAAGTTATAGTTAAAAGGGAGGCAATATCAAGGCTGTGGAGTTAAGATTTGGAACTTTTGTTTACTGCAGTTCCTTGGTTTTTTGGGTATTCTGGCAAGGAAGCAGAATAGCATACCTTTGGTCTGAGGATGACTTTGTGTTATGGGGTAGAAACAGAATCCTGTGCCTGTGAGTACACAGATTGATTTTGTCATGACTTTGGCAAGGAGCCTGTTACTAATGGGTTTGATTTATATGGGTTTGCATCACTGAACTAACAGCATTAGGTGTTCTCTTATTCTGTTTTATAACTGACAATAGATAATTTTCTATTTCCACAAAAGTCTCAAGGACCAACATATCCCAGACCATTTCCTGTTGGATTGGGAATGTCTGCAAAGCTGGGGAATTCACAACTTATCTGGGCAGCCCATTCCACTCTTTGACCACCCTTGCAATAATTTTTTTTTCCTTATGCTTTAATGAGATTTCTCATGTTTCAGCTTCTGCCCTTTGCCTCTGATTCTGTGACTGGATAACACTGAGAATTTTCAAGCTTTGTCTTCATCATTCCCTTCACTCAACTACTTACACATTAGTACTGCTCTCCTGAACCTTCACTTCTGAACATTTACGGTTCTCTCACCCTCTTCTGGTACAACAGATGCCCCAGTGCCTTCACTGAGCTTTCTCCAGAAAGTCCAGGTCTCTGTAGTACTGGAGAAAACAGAACTGAGCCCCCACATTCCAGCCATGCCTCCAATGCTGCTGAGAGGAAGAAGGGATGGATCACATCCCTTGCCCTGCTGACAATTCTGTTCCTCGTGCAGTCCAGGCTGCTGGTGGCCTGAGAGTGGCCCATGGTCACCCTGCTGTCCACCAGGACCCCCAGGTCCTTCTCTGCACTGGTGCTGTCCAGCAGCTCCCACCATTCACATCCCTGATTCCTTCTTTCTTCTTCTCAAATGTCAGAGTGAAGCAACCACCCTCGTTCGTTCCTCACTTATGCAAATTATGGATTTATTACAATAATCTTCAGAATACTTCTGGATTCTTGTTCATCCTTAGAATAGATCACCATACTTTATGTGGATATTCCCCATTAACGCTTTAAAAGAAAGAAAGAAAATAAGATAATGGGTTGGACACTACTATTTGTATTTGTGTCACTATTAAAAAACTAGCAGCTTCTATGGATCAAAAAGCGAAAATATATTATCCCAGAAACAGACAAAGCTCATACTGATAAGACATCTTTCTTGAATTTCTATTATTGCCTATATTTATGCAGACACTGATAGAAAAGACAGTCTAAGTTATTAACCATCTCTCATATTACTTAGAATGACTTTTCCATTTTTAGTCACCATTGTTTTGAATTCCAAAGACCTTTTTTGATGAAAATTAGAAAACAAATTCTCTGACTCGTCTGATCCTTTTTCTTTCTAAAGTGATTTTCTGCATGACAAGATCACACCCGCAGTGCTGTATCAAGCTCCTAATTATGGCCCTCATTTAATTCATCTATGGAGGAACAGGGCAATCTGTCATGAATAATTTGGAGTTAGACAAATTCCAGCAATGCTGCTAGAGATGCTCAGTTCCTTGAGCATCTCACCAAGCATCAGGTAATATTGCATATATATGTGTATATGTGACACATATACATATTAATGTAATATGTGTAATATGTTACACGTGACTACTTGTGTGATTGTGGACCAGATAATGCTCTCTCTGCTCCTGAGACCTTCCAGGCAAAATTGCAAGGACACACCAGTATGGACTTGTCAGCCTTTGTACAGTTGAAGGAATAACTTCAGTAATACCGGGACAATGTTGGTTTACTCAATTTATCTGTGGTTTCTGGCAGAGATAGCAAACTGTAATAAAATTACGTGAGTTTGTGAGTTTTAAGTTGGGTAATTCTCTGGAGGCTGCCCTGGCAGGGGAGACCCTCTTGGAGTAGTTCTGTGTTAGGAACAAGAGACGCATTGGAATTTTTTGGTCTTTAGTTTTTGTTTATTTTTAGCTTATCAAAATTTTAGTACAATGTCTGCACCCAGACTTTGTATGTGTGAAAACAGCACAAAAAATGGTTAATAACTTTGTGTTGTAAGGTCTTTTTAAGTCTAATCAAAAACTAAACTAATTAAGAAGTGATACTTAAATTATTTTCTGTAACTTAATAACTGACCCTTAAAGACTCTTAGTGTAGATTTTTCTACCTAATTACAAGATACCACTTAAACTTAGGAAGAAAGAGGAAGAAGAAGAGAGAATAAAGGAATTTGAGATAACACCCTATATCCTCCATCTTGAACTCATCTATAACATATTAAAAATCCTAAAACTTAAATTTCTCACCCATGTGACATACTACATGACTATCTACAATCTCTATAATCTATTTTACACTTGTGTGGATTCTAGTTTACCTTGAGGCTTTGGAAGTTTTCTCCATGAATGAGGTCAAAGTCAGTGTTTTCCTGGGAGTCAGAGCACCCCAGGGAAGACAGGGGGATATTCCCCTTGCCCTGGGTTTCCACAGAATTACATTACTTTGTTTTCCATCTTGAATGCAACTGTGTGTGAAACATGCTCTTATGTAGTTTTACTGCTTATATTTACCCATGTGAGCCTGCATATGAAATTTAGGCTGCAGGACCCCTTGTTACTCTAGTAACCACTTTAACTCAGAATATGCACTGAGAGGATTTCCTGCACTGATCCAAGATCAAAGATGCAGGTATCATTTTCATCTTCATTAACTGTCTCCAAGGTCTTCTTTGTTATTCCTCCTAACTAGGTGAAATTTCCACTCTCCTTATATACAGCCCAATGTTATACAGCCCAAAGTTATATTCCTCCACTTCTTTACATACAGCATGATCTAGACAGAGACTTAAGAAATATAGTAATATATGTGGTAGCATGTACTTCATTGAGATTGTTAGCATATGATACATTTTAATATGTAAATAATGATGAATGAGGCAAAAGTTCATTTTTAACCGTAGCATCCTTCAATGTGCTGGTGATACAATTTCTTTTAGTTCCACTCAGCTATTCAGAGACAAAAAGAGGACCTTTCTGTCTCCACCAGACCATGTACTCCAGCCATCTTATATTTTTTCCATGTCCATTATGAATTTCTTCACCTGTAAAGATAGCACAGTGGGTACACAAAGCAGGCTGTCGATAATAAGACTTCGCCCTTGCCTGGGCTCTTGGTCTTTGTCCCACTCAGTGGTGTTCCAGCCCTAGGAGTGATTAAACCTAATAACCAACCTGAAATGTTACATTTTGGCCTCCTCCCAGCTCCTTTGTAAAATAATTCAGTATTTCAATATAAGAGGCATTTGAAATGCACCATTCTTCCCTCTGGTAGAAAAGCTGTTCATAATTACTGCCATTTCTTAAGTTAACTGCGACAATATTCTGATGGGAGGTGTTCTTTCATCTGGCATTACACAAAGGAAATGACTTTACATCTGCATTAATTTACATATACATTAAACTCATGACAAAGCAAATTGCAAAGATAAAGCACCATCATCATGTCTCTGCTTCCACTGCTTGTGCATTTCTTTCCTCTCCTTCAGTTTGACCAGCAGGTCTCAACTCATCCACAGGGGTCACTTCCCTTCTTCTCCTGCTTTCTTACATATGGAGACCAAGGATGTAATCCCTTCCAGCCTTAGCAAGATGGAAGCAGCTTAAAAAATTGAAATCAAAGGATGTAAGCTACGACAAGAGGCACTTTCCCAAATGTACGTTATTTTTGTAGTTTGGTAGAGCCAGTCACCACAGACATTAACTTAAAATTGCTTAATCTGCTTTCCTCCTTTGTTAGTCAGCCTTAGAGAAACAGCCTTGGTGTTGGTGCTCTCCTCAACACTTAAACTGATAATCAGTGGTCAATCAGCTACTGTTCAGAATGTACATGCAACCAACATTGTAAAAGACAAAATATCTGCAAGCATGTGCCATGCAAGCATGTCATGACATCCAGAATGCAAAGTAAATAAAGGAGCACCAGAATATAGCACATCTGTCCATCTGTCTATGTCTAAATTTCTAAGGCAATCAAAGATCGACTGCTGATTGGAAATTAGATTTGTAGGTCAAGAAAGAAACCTGCTTTAAGACCTGACTAAATTATTTTCTGTCACTTGAATTAGATGAAACTCTTAAATCAAATCAAGGGGTGCTGAAGAGAGACAGCAGCATCTGAAGAGGCCGAAGGCCATAGGGAATGTTTTGTAAGTTGTGCAAGGGTCTCAGATAA